TTGTTCTTTCTACTTTGATGCATTGATAGGCAGATGAGATTATAATGTCTACCTTACAATCACACAAGAGTAAGACCAAAGCAACCAATGTCTCTCGCAATGACTTAACTAAGTGTGATGATGGAACACTAGTTAAGAGTGGTGTGCTCCCTACTTCAGCTGCTAGCAATGGCAGTGTCATTGGAAAAGATGAAAGAAAAGTACCTATTGGCGTAGTTCAGGAGGCAAAGGACATGGGTTATGAATTAAACACTAAAAAGTCTAGAGGTAAGTCATGTTCTTTTGTTTAAGAGATTGATGAATCAAAATCTAAAATGGCTAGAACTTTGATCTCTAATGTTTAGAAGTATTTTGCTAGAGTTGATGTTAATGGAAAACCTAAAGCAAGGTGTCATGGTTGTCAAACTTTATTAGCATCAAGTACAGTTAGTTAGAGCTGATAATTTGAGCCAAGCCTGATAAACTACCTGGAACCCACCCGAAAAAAGTTAAGGTCAGGTTTGGCTATATAAGCTTTTTTAAGAAAGTAGGATACTTTAAGCTCAACTATAAAAATTTCTAGCTCTATATGTATATAAAGTTGGCAATTTTAGTCAACCCCAATGGGCTAACCCAAACCTGAAAAAAAAAAAAATTAGGGCTATGCTTGGTTATATGGGCTTTTTAAAGAGGATAATATACTTTATGCCAAATCTAAATAAGCCCACCCGGCCCAAATTATTGGTTCTAAGGCAAATGGTACTTCATATCTAAATAGACATGCTAAGTCTTGCAAAGTTCTAGACAAATTTCATGATATTAGGGTAATGTTATTGGATAAAGAAGGCAATATTAGGTGTTGAAAAATTAATAATATGCAAATTCAAAGGATTATGACTAGGGCCATAATTACATGATTTTCCTTATTCTTTTGTTAAATACAAGTGGATCAAAGAACTATTTTTAACATTGAATCATGATGTTAGGCTCTTTATTAGAAAAATTGTTGCTATTGATGTTATGAAATTCTTTTTGACAAAAAGAAAATTTCAAACAAAAGTTGAAGAGAAATAATAGCAAAATTCATTTGACATTTAATTGTTGGACTTTTGTGACTTTTGAAGGGTTTATGTATTTGAAATCCCATTTTGTGGATGAAAGGTGAAAACTATGTAGTAAAATACTCTCATTTTGTAAAATGAAATCTTCACATTCTAGGATAGAGCTTCCTAGAAAAGTGCATGAATGCTTGATTGATTGGGGAATTGAGAATAGAATATTCTCAATTACTTTAGACAATGCATCTGTAAACGATAATATGCAAGACATATTAAAAGAGAGGTCAAGTTTGCAAGATGACTTCAAATTGGTAAGTAATGGAGATTTTTTTTTTCATATGAGGTTTTGTGATCATATCCTAAACTTGATAGTTCAGGAGGGTTTGAAAGTAACAAGTTTTGCTTTGCATAAAATTAGAGAAAGTATTAAATTTGTGAAAAGCATCAAAGGCAAGGTCAATTCTTTTTAAATAATGTGTTGAGCAAGTTAGTAGTACTGAGACACCTCAATAGGCTTGCGGTTAGATGTGGCCACTAGATAAAACTCCACTTACACAATCGTTGAGACTGGAATTAAATATCATTGTACTTTTGCACACATGGCTATAAATGATACAAATTACAAGTTTAGTCTCACACATGATGAGTGGGCTAGAGCTGATACAATGTGCACCTTCTTGAGGCCATTTGAAAAGATCATAAGGTTAATTTTTGAATTATCATATCCGACTTCAAACTCTTATTTTATGCAAATTTCAAAATTTGAAATGTTGCTTGATGTAAAGCCCCAATCCTATAATTCAAGAGATGGTTAGGAAAATGAAACACAAGTTTGACAAGTATTGGAATGAGTATATGTCATTCTTGTACTTGTAATAGTTTTTTATCCAAGATGGAAGTTTAATATGATACAATATTGCTATACAAAGATTGACCTTATTACTTGCCATAAGAATGTTGCTAATATTAAAAGCAAGTTAATATTCATCTTTAATGAATATTCAAGTATGGGAACATCTACTAATCTTGGAGTTGGGGGGGTTGCAAGTAGGTCAAGTTATAGAGCTTCAACAATTACCACTCACCATTCTTCCTTGGCTTGATGTGTTTCAACATCAACCTCTTTTGATGATACATTTGATATAAGTTTTAAATTCCTTGTCTTTTAAATTCTTTCACTTTTTTCACTAATCTAGTCTTTTTTTGATACTTTTTAATCCTTTATAAATATATGATGCATGATTATCAAGATATTTATGCAATTATGGATCATTCTTCCTTGGACAAGTCTGAACTTGAAAATTATTTGGAGAAACCAATACATAATTAAGCCTGATAGTTGGAAAGGATTATATGTCTTGAACTAGTGGAAGAATAATCAACATTGGTATCCAATTCTTTCAAGGATGACAGCTAATATTCTTAGCATTTCAATCACTATAGTAGCTAGTGAATCAGCTTTTAGCATCGGTTCACGTGTCCTATCAAAGTACCAAAGTTCCATTCTTCCAACAAATGTTTAGGCTATAATTTGCGCTTGTAACTGGTTACATGGTTTTATGTACGATAGTAATTTTTATTTATTTTATTTTTTACCATGCAAATAATCTAATAAATAATAACTATATTGTGTGAGTGTTTTTGTTTATTGTTTGTTGCAGATAATGAAGGTGAAGAAGAAGAAAAAGAAAATTTTGATATTTTTGCCCCTATAGAGCTAGCTTTAAGTGGATCACAACTAAATTTTGTTGAACTTGATAATAGTGAAGAAGAAGAAGATAATGATGATGCTACTAATATATGAGTATTTATGTGCATTGATTTAAGGATTTTCATGAGACTATGATTCTTGGTGGTGGATATTGGATAGATTCAGATGATATTGGCTTAATTGCTTGCTATCTTTTTGATTTGTATTGTGTTTCTAACATCCAGCTCATTTAGAAGTGGTTTAGTTTGTTTGCTTATTGCTGCTTGTAATTTGAGCTTATTGCTACTTATTGTATTTAGTTTGTTTGCTTATTAATTATTATTGTTTAGTCTATGTGATTTGACATTATAGTAAGATTTTATGTTACAGTTGAATGAATGAACTATTTTTAATTTGTAAAACAAAATGGAAAAAAAAAGTAAAAGGACCCAAAAAGCCTGCATAGTTGACCTCAAGCCTATTATGTTTAGGGCCGAGCTTCAGATATGAACCCCTCAAGGAAAACTTAGGTTTAAACGGGCTAGTCCTTTTAGGCCATAGTTTGTTAAGGGATAGCCTTTTAGGGTCGAGCCAGCTGTTTTTCCATCTCTATTCATTAGTGAGTTAAAAATAATTTATTAAAAAATCAAACTAGATATGATGTGTGTTAACTTGCAATCCAAGTGTCATCATCCTATATGTATAATTTGGAAGAACCATGTGGCAAATATTTTTGAAAAGATATACATTGTTTGTTCAATAATATGACATTTTTTGAGGGATTAGATATTAAAAAATAAAGTAAATGTGCATTTTTGTCCTTAAAATATTTTTTAAAGAACACCTAACACTCTAACATTTTTGTTAGAGCAATTTTGCCCTTGATGTTATCAAAACGAAACATTTTTGCCCTTTTCGTCAAATTTCCAACATTGACCTCAAACTTTAACCGTTAAAAAATTTGATAAAAAGAGCAAAAATACTCCATTTTGATAATGTTAAGGGTAAAATTACTCCAACAAAAATGTTAGGATGATGAGTACTCCTTCAAAAATATTTTAAGAATAAAAGTGCACCTTTATTCTAAAAAATATAATGCATTTTGAGTTTTTAAAAATGTAATCATTACATTTTTTTTAAAGTAAATCACTTTATATTTATTTTAAGATAAAATATTTTATTAAATAAAAATAAATATAAAAAATAGGTTTAATTTAAAAATAAATAATTACATTATTAAAAAATAAAATTAAATTAAAAATATTTCAGGAGGGAGTATTTGTCTGATGTCATTATCATGTCTTCTATGCTGTTTTGGCAGGTTTCCTGTGGGAACGCCCACATGGATGTGCCATGCATGCCGTGCATCAAACAGTGCCGCTATGTGTTGTCAACTTTTCGGGTGTACTTGGGTTTGTCTGTTTGTTAGGATATAGAAATCCATCATTATTCTGTTCGTATGAAAACTTCCTTCCTTTAATTTCACCACTTAATATTTTATGTTTATTTTTCCCCCCATAATTATAAAGAAAAATGTAATTATTCATTTCTATAATTTTATCAAATTTTATTTTTAATTTTTATAAATTTTTTTAGTATTTTTAATTTTCATAATTTTAAAAAAATTAGGTGACATTTATTTTTTAAATTTCTATAGTTTCAATTTTTTTAGTGTTTGTAGTGCCTATAAAAGCTGAAAACACTGTAGAAATTATAAAGATTAAAAACAAAACCTAATAAAATTGTAAATATTGAAGGTTATGTGTTTCCTAATTATAACAACGTTGGTTTTCCAGTTGGATAAATTAAAGCTATTGAATGTTGGAGAAAAAAAATTATTAAAATATGTATATTTAATAAAGATAAAGTTAAAAATTTATTAAAATTTAATATAAAATTAATGAATTTTAAATTTTTTTTTAATTTATATTAAAAGTAACTTATAAATAAAATTAGTGAGAGAAATAAAAAGTATTGAATGGTCTATGCTACTTTATCCAGCATGTCAATAGATCATCCCTTATTTATCATATCCTAATTTCTCTTATTTAATTACAAGAATAATTTCAGAATAAAAAAAAAATATCTAGTAACGACACACGATCGATAATCATCACGTCATACAACAATATGAACTTAGGAGAAAACACGTAGGACATAAATAGTTCCACAACTTCTGGATACTTCATTCATTCATAATACATAGAGAGAGAGAGAGAGAGAGAGAGAGAGAGAGAGAGAGAGAGAGAGAGTTCCATACCTTCACACAAAGATTAAAGCAATCAAACTTTTTTCTTCTCCCATATATATAGGATAATATATTAATTAATCATCAATTCCTTTTTGTGATCCAAACTTTGAGACCATACCTCATTAAAAGCACTATTGACAATGACGGAGAAATAGGATGATCTTTCACTATATGAACTTGATAATCCTTCAAAATAGAACTGGCCACTATCTTCATTTGAATAAAAGATAAGTCCTTACCCAAACAAGTTCTTGGTCCTGCGTTGAAGCTAATAAACGTGTATGACGGTATATGAACGATGCTTCCTTTTTTTGAGATCCACCTCTCTGGTTTGAATTCCATGCAATCTTTTCCCCATACTTCTTCACATCTTCCTACTGCGTACAAAGATAATAAAATCATGGTTCCAGGACCAACCTCATGTCCACTGGGAAGTATATCATGTTCGACTGCTTGCTTGCGCTCAAAAGGTATGGGAGGATACAGTCTCAGAGCTTCACATAGAGCACCATGGAGATATACTTGAGATTTTGTTTCCTTTTCTTCTTTGATTTCTTCAAGAATCTTTGCTTCTACTGAAGGATGTTTTGCAACGAGCCAAAAGAACCACGTGAGAGCTGAAGTTATGGTATCTCTGCCTGCAACAAAAAGATTAAAAGCAGTGTCTCTCAGAAACTTGTCATCCACGTGTTCTTTTCCTTCTTTCTCCCTCATCAGACAGGTCAGCAAGTCATCGTTTTCTCTATCCTTTTCGTTGTCTTTGTTGAGTTTTTCTCTCTTTGATGCTATACTTTCATGGAGGAATCGGTCAAAGACTTCACATGCTTCGGCCATCTTCTTCTCTGGTCCAATTCTTAGCCATCTCTGAAGCTTCCAGATGCTTATAGGTACTGTGTGTCTGTAGAATATAAACTCCTCAGCTTCATTAAAAGCTCTCTCGCATGCAACTTCCGGGAAATCAATGGCAAGGCTCTCTGGGTCAGATCCTAAGATTGTGGAGCAGATAATGTCAAAGTTGAGGCGATTGAACACGTCTTGCAGATCCACTTCAATCCCTCTCCTTTCTACATGATCAAGAAGAGGAACGAGACTTTTGTCCATCTTCTTTTGAACAATCTTCTCCAGAAGCTTCTCAAAACTCTTGGTTTTAAACAAGGAATGGAGAAGTGCCCTGTGGTGTTTCCATGAATCTGAATCTGCAGTGAAAATCCCATCCCCGAAAGCTTCGAAAATCTCGCGAAACACAGGCCCTTTTATGTAGTTGGCGAAATTCTTGCTCATCATGTGATGGACGTTCGTGGGGTCACTGGTGGCCAAATAGTTCATCCCAGTAAACCAAGGTCCGAGGAAATTACCAGTACCTCCATTTCTTCGCAGAACTCGAGTTGCGTAGTCATTAATCTGCCCCAAATTTTTGAGAATCGGTGGCAACATTCCAAATAGAGGCCAATCTGGTAAGAGGGGGTCCCTGCAACATCGTCTTCGATGAATATGAAAAAGAAGAAAGAGAAATGCCGCAAAACCCGCAATCACTTGCACACAACCAAGCATTTTTGGTTAGGGAAAGAAACGAAGAGCTTTGCTTGTATAGATCAGATATGATGTGCCATGCAAATTATATAGACAATAATTGGCATGAGAAGGTTCACATATTGTGCTCCTAAGTCAATACAGTTGCAGATATTTTGCTTCTTGCATTTATTACTGCGGTTTATTGGCTTGTCTTGTAGTTACATCTGACAATATATGCAATTGATTTGGCGATAAGAAACAGCTATGCATGCTTAACTATGCACGCACGTCTCAAAGTTTCAGCATCAAATTAAATACACTGACAATATACTACTGTGAGAAGCAAAATGACTTGTGAAAAGCCAATGTTAGTTGCGCGGCAGATTATGTGCATTAAGAACTGGTAATGTGCATATCCCTTGTCTCACCCATTCAATCAGCTATCCTTTTCTTATTTTCATTTTCCTTTTTATTGTTCCGTTTTTTAGAATGAATATCTGGCATTTAAAAATTTAAGTTCAGAAATAAAGTTTAAAAAAAGGGGTTTACTAGGACCGGGGGACAGTCAAAAATAGAGGACAGAGAGTTCGTTGATATCCACTTGTCTGTATTAAAGCTAGTGTTCTGAGAACCGTATTAGACTGGTTGTTCAACTGTTTGAACCGAATCTGGTCTAAGTTTGGTCCGATTGTAATAGAAAACTGCTCTACCTAAGAAATAGTTGAACTAGTCTTGAAATGGTGGACCTGGTGGCTAAACTGGTTGAACCGATCCTATTATTTTTTAATATTTTGTTTTTAAAATTTCAGTTCATATTTTTAAACTGCAATTTATACATATTTATATGTAATAAGTATTGATAAATGAATAAAACTGAACAAATATACAAGAAATATGAATAAAATATGTATATATGTATATATTTTAATTTAAAGTTATAAATTATAAATTATGAAATAAGTGTATATGTACTTTGGATTAAAATGATGAAATGTTGATGGATATTACTTCTTTTTACTTTATATTATTTTGTTTGAAATATAAAAATTTATTTATATTATTATATATAATTATTTCTTTTTATTTTTAGTATATATTATTTAAAATATATGCATTTATTCATAAAAGGTTGAATCCCAATTGAAACCACGTCCGACTATTGAACCTAGACTAATATCTTAATCGATTTAATTTCTAGTCCAGTTTCTTAACATTGATTTAAACTTATTTTTACAGTTACTTATTAAGATAATATAAAATATCAAATTGCATAATAATTTTTTAATTTGAAAATACTTTTATTGCCAAGAAACACAGAAATGAATGATAGCACCAGAGGGAAAATCTTATTCAATGCTGAAAAAGAGTGTATACATTCTCATATAATGATGCTTATGACTAGTGTGACCATTATACGTGTACACAGATGAATCTAACTGATTACCGCTGAATTATTAAACTGATGTAACAACTTAACAGAAACCAAAACTAATCATTACATTAAACTAACATTTATTTGTTCAAATCAAAATAATGATACAAAGTATAAAGTGTTAGATTGTTATATGGTAAACATAATTTTTTTTTTATACAATGTAGGTCACGTGCAATGTTGCACTCAATTTAAAATATAATTTTACTTTTTTATACTTGCAATGGTATACAGAGCTACTTTTGCAGTGATATGTTGCTATCCACTGTGGGGGAGGATTCTCTACTGGGGAGAGTAATGAATTGATGCGCGGAGAGGGCCACATATATATTGTTGAAAATGATGCGGGGAGAGGGGATTTTTCTTTTTTTTTTTTGGGGAGTATGTCTCATTTATAAAAGAACAATGAAAAGTATTTAGGATACAAAAAAATTGGGCCAAGGTTATGGTTCAAAAATAAAATAAAAAAATGCAATATTGTCGGTCCCTAACTTATCCTGATAATCCACATCTGATCACATGGGTCCCAAAATCTCTTTAAATCATAACAATTGTGGTTGTGAATGCGAGCTTCGTTTGACTGCTCTCTGTATTTTGCCAATAGAGTTTCAAATGTATATGCTTGTCTACAAGGTTGACTCGGTCAACTCTGAGTAATGGTCACAAGCGGATAATGATAGAGTTTATAATAGGAATTAATCAAGTTAACTATATTTCTTTAATAATAAAATGTAGTTTTTTAAAACAAAAAATAAAATGAAAATAACTTTACGATATTTTTCATATTTTTAATAAGAACAGTTTTAAAAACAATCAAATCTAAAAAACTTGTCCAAAATTTCTTCTTCTTCTTTTACTTCTAAAATAGAAAATAATTTAAAAAAAAAAGAAATCACCATTATATCTTCCATAGCTGGATTACTGTTATTTACATACTGCGGGTTATTTAGAGGCCAATTTTATGTAAGTTTCCTTTCCACCAAAATATACTTTATTCATCATCCACTAAAACCATGTATAAACAAATAGATTCTACAAACTCAAATACATCATCAATTACTTAATTTCTTCTTTCACCATATTAACTATGAATCTCTTTTTGTGACTTGAACTTTGAGACCATACTTTATTAAAAGCACTATTGAAAGTGTTGGAGAAATATGATGATCTTCCACCATGTGAACTTAATAATTCTTCAAAATAGAAGTCGTCATTATCTTCATTTAAATGAAAGACAAGTCCTTTTTTAAGAAAGTACTTGGTCCTGCATTAAAACTAATGAACTTGTATGATGGTACGTGCACAATGCGTCCTCTCTCTAAGATTCATCTCTCAGGCTTGAATTCCAAGCAATCTTTTCGCCATGTTTCTTCACACCTTCCCAAGGCATACAGGGATATCAATGCACAGTCTTGGGACCAACCTCATGTCCGCTTGGAAGTATGTCGTGTTTGATTGTTTGCTTGCTCTCAAAAGGTATGGGAGGATACAGTCTCAAAGCTTCACACAGAGCACCATGGAGATACACTTGATTTTTCATTTCCCTTTCTTCTTCGATCTCTTCAAGAATCTTGGCTTCCACTGAAGGGCGCGCAGCAACAAGCCAAAAGAACCAAGTGAGCGCTGAAGTTGTGGTAACCTGTCATCCACGTGTTCTTTTCCTTCTTCCTCCCTCATCAGACATGTTAGCAAGTCATCGTTTTCTTTCTTCTTCTGGTTATTTTTGCTTAGCTCTCTATTTTTGATGCGATACTTTGATGGAGGAACCGGTCAAAAACTTCACATGCTTCGGCCATCTTCTTCTTTGGTCCAATCCTTAGCCATCTCTTAAGCTTCCAGAAGCATTTAGATACCGTGTCTCTGTAGAATATAAACTCCTCAGCTTCATTGAAAGCTCTCTCGCATGCAACTTCCGGGAAGTCAATGGCGAGGCATTTAGGGTCAGATCCTATGATTTTGGAGCAAATGGTGTCGAAGTTGAAGCGATTGAACATGTCTTGCAAATCCACTTCAATTCCTTTCCTCTCTACATGATCAATAAGAGGAACGAGACAACTCTGCACGCTATCCCGGATGATCTTCTCTAGAGACTTCTCAAAGCTTCTGGTCTTAAACGAGGAATGGAGAAGTACCCTGTGGCATTTCCACGTGTCTGAATCGATAGTGAAAATTCCATCCCTGAAAGCTTTAAAGGTTTCACGAAACTCAGGCCACTTAACGTAGTTGACGAAGTTCTTGCTCAACATATGATGAACATTCATGGGGTCACACGTCATCGGGTAATTCATTCAAGTGAACCAAGGGCCGCTGAAGCTCCCAGTGCTGTGCATGTCTTTGCGGAACGAGAGTGATGAAATCATAAATCCGCCATAAATTAGTGAGAAGTGGAGGTAACATTCCCAATACTGGCCAATTCGTTAAGAGAGGGTCTTTGCAGCATCGTCTCTGATGGCAATAATAGAACAGGAAGAAGATGAGTGCTACAAAACCTGCAACTACTTGCGCAGAACCAAGCATTAATGTGCTCGTACTATACTGATATCGAAAGAGCCTTGCTTGATATATTATATAGATGCGAATGTAATCAACCTGCTGTGATATGTTTATATATATGTGTGTGCGTGTGTCGCCAATTAATAATTGAAACTAGCTAAGGAAGCTCATGTTGTGATCCTACGAAGTCATAAAATTAAATAAACTATTTCTTTTATACGTCAGCTTCTAAGTCGATAAATTAGGTGTCTGATTTTGCAGATTAGCTAGGTACATTTGATGCTGTAAACAAGAGACGTACGTGCATGTGTGCTGATTCAAGCCAAACCAATAAAGTCGTTGCAGATGATAAATGGGTCGGGACCCTTAAGGCTGGGCTACACCACTCTACTCCTGTGGTCCTTGGAAACGTTAGGGTCTAGTATTCTTGCCTTTTATTTTTCTGGAACGGGTGAATTCGGACCCAGTCCATGTGAGTCAGGTTCTTCACATGGGTTCAAGTTTTAAAGTTGGATAGCTTTAAAATTTGATCAATTCTTCAAGCTGGACTTTTATTGATTAGGTCAAGCCTGAAAGTCCCTTTTCATTTATTTTTAATTTTATTTTTAAAAATTTAATTTTTACATTATAATATTCCTTCTAGTTCAAAATATAAGTAGTTTTTAAACAGTTGCATATTAATAAAATCTTCATTCTCATAAAAATATATATTATTTTTTTATCTTTAGTCTCAATTATCAATATATTTCATGATGATGTTGATTGATGTTGTATTGACATTCAATTTGTCCCTTGTTTTTGCCTATTTACCATGTTTAAATATTAAATTTATTTTTTCCAATAAATTTTGCAATATAATTTTAATGGCAAAATTAGTCACAATTTATGACAACACCATTAATCTCTTGGATACAAAATTTATGATCATGGATTCTTTCTTGGTGAGAATCATCTTGGCCCCTCCAAGCTCACAATGTGGGAGTGGGACCCATTTTTATATAGCAAGTCTTACCCTTACATTGTGAGGACAAAGAGGCCAAGATAGTACATTGTTAAACATGTGATTTGTTTTAGCTTTGTTATTTTTGTCATCTCTGGACCCATTTAGAGTCAGTAATTCAAGATGATCGAGCTTCTAATTGAACTCAATTCAAGCCTAGTTTGTTTAGATCGAGTTTAAAATATTATACCCCTTCTAAAAAAGCTATATAGCAAGTTAGGTCTTAAAATATAAAAAATAAATATTAAAATATATTCTAAATATTATTTTAAGATATTTTATTGACTAAATATAATGAAAATATAAACATATAAATATTTTTAATTTGTTTTAAAAAAATATGGTAATGTGCTCAAGTATATAATATTTTGGTATAAAATGATATAAAACTTTAAAAATTAATTGATATTTATTATATTTTATATATTTTTTAGAAATTATTTTTTTATTAGGGTATTTGGGCCAAGTTCAAACCTGATCAAGCTTGGCTTAAATTTTTTCAGGCATATTCGGGTAGGCATTAAAAAATTAATATTTTTTTAGGTTTGGCTGTAAATTTTTTAAGTAGGTTCAGGCTGACCTGTTGGACTTAGTCGTACTATTAGATGAAAAAAAGAGTATATTTTTACTATTTTTTATCTTTAGTATATTTGATTTTTTATTTTTTACGCCTAAAAAATTGACTCAGTTTCTTTATAAATTGCTTGTAGAATATGGGCTGAAGTGGAGAGAGAGATGCAGTAATGGAAGCGTGGAACATGTGCCGTCCTATAAAGATTTTGGAAATATATAACGAAGAATTATATTTGATCCATTATTTTAAAAAATATTCTGAATTAATGAAATAAAGGGTGAAATAATAATTTATTTTATTAACATAATTGTTATTAATGAAAGCATAATATTGTCTATTTTTTTCAGTTTTGTAAAAACAAAAAATAACAAAACATTTAAAAAATTTCTGGTTTTTTGATTATTTAGAACAACTTTTAACTTTATTTTTTGTATTTCAGAACAGATAATATAAAAACACATTTCGAAAAGTGTTTTTTTGGCTTTTTAGAACAGAAAACTTTTCTAAAAATAGGTAATCAAATTTACCCTCTCTAGCCTTTACTTGTTTAGAACAAAAATAGAACAGAGTTAAGTACAACCAAGTCCCATAAATAAGGCAAATTATTATGAAGTCCCATGGTCCTAAGGGATATATAATTTTGAAATTAAAATGACCCATTTGCCCTTAACTGATTAAAAGGGAAAAATGAAGGAAAGAGAAAAGAGGACCCATTTTCGCCTGTGATAGAGGCAAGAGCAGTTGAGGTGCATCTCATGATCGTCTTTCGAATGAGGTATAGAAGGATCATCTTATAGCCAGAAGGTGAACCCACTCTTGTGATCATCTTCAGTTTAAGGTGTGTAGGAGTTTATAAGGGAAGCATTGATGTTTGAACCTTCTTACACCTAGCTTCAAGCTTCAAAGAATCTGATAGTGTGACCTCATGGAACTAGGTAAATGATAAGATTGATTTGCATATACTCCCTGTTAATCATTTAATCTAATGTTTTATTATTTGATAGTAGAATAGGGTTGTCTCTTTCTCTCCTTATAGGTATATAAGTCATGGGTGGTCTCTCTCTCTCTATCTCTCAATTGATCGATCAATATATCTGCCATAGGTGGTCATTGGCCTTGCATTAATAATAGTGTAATCTAGTGCTATTTGGTTGAGCTAATGAGTCTATCATGAGATAGTAAAATATATTTTTAATAGTTGAAGTATAAGTTATCAATATAGTAGGGATAATTGTCCATATGTTGTGTGTTGCAGGTTGAGAATATCTGTGTGTATTGTTAATAGATGAAGCTTAAGTTGTTAATATGCTATGGGTAGTTATCAATATGTTATGTGCAGTACAAGTTGACAATATGTTGTGTGTATTGTTAATTACTGAAATTTAAATTATCAATATACTGTGGGTAATTGTCAATATGTTGTGTATAATGCAAGTTAACATAAAAGATGGCTAGTAGTTCTGAAAAATATCTATTATGTTTTTTACATATAGGAAAATTACATATGATGGCTAAGGTAGTGTGCAATATGTGGGTGAGAGTATAAGAATAAAAAGTTAAAGGAAGGGACAAGTTATGAAGAGTTGAAAAGAATGTTATTATCAATTATTGAGTGTAAAAACATTAGAAGTGAAATGAAGTTGACACTTAGTATTGACAGAAGCACATTTTTAGATCTTCTTGATGATGATAGAGTAGAACATTTAATTAAGTACAATAAAGAAAGTGAACATAAATATAATTGCTAATGGAAATGACACTATACAAGTATCAATAGATGACCTAACTGAGCACCAATTTGTGTAAGTTGTGTTAATTGCTTTTGTTAATATAGATAATATTAAAATATAGTATTACTAATGTGTTTAGATTGTAATTTTCTACAGGATAGATAATTTATTAAGAGGTTTAGGGAGAGGCTCTTTATCTCCACCTAGTTTGTGTCCTAAGATTAAAGACTTACCATTAGAATGTGTTGTATAAATGGTGCATACAGCAATACTTGAAATGAATTTAGTGAAATAAAAGGACTTGTGTGTAGGTAAGGGCTAAATGTTTACTGATGCAGTGGCGTTTAGACAAACTTTATACAAGCATAGTATTGGGCGTAAATTTTCATACAAGTTTAAGAAGAACAATATGAAAAAGGTTATCGCAAAGTGCAAGGTTGATAGCTGTCTATAAAATATTACAGTATATTCAATAGGAAAGCATAGTAAGTTTCTGAGGGTAACAAGATTCAATAGAGAGCACATCCATAATACACAGGATATGCTTATTGTTTCACCTCGGGTAAGGTCAGATTTAACATCATCGATCATTGCTAATGCTTTGAGGTCTATTATAGACAAAAGTATGAATGAAATTAGAAGAGAATTGTAAAGAAAGTATGATGTGCAATTGACCTACAAGTATATAGGGACACAGGAAAAGTATTGCGAGATACACATGGTCTTCCATAAAATTCTTATATGATAATCCTTAGGATTTGTGATGGATTAAGGAAAACTAATCTAACAATAGTTGCAAAATGGGATGCCTCCAATAACAATAGATTTTAGAGGTTATTCATTGCATATGGATGTTGTATTTCAGGTTTTATAAAAGGCTGTCACATATACTTTATATAGATGGATGCTTTCTAAGCGGTTTATACAAGGGAATATTGTTAGTAGCTTTTGCTTATGACACAGACAATGACCTATTTTCACTAGCATATTCTATTGTGAGTAGGGCAACATTTGAAAATTGGTTTTGATTTCTTGAAAAAGTCAAAGATACCACAAGATTAGTTGAAATAACATTAGTTTTTGATAGACATAATGCCATTATTGGGGCTGTGCAAGCTATTTTTGGTGGCAAGAGACATGTGTATTACTAGTGTCATGTGAAGGAAAATTGTAGTGTCAGAATATGTGAAAATCAATAAAGGTCAGAGGAAGACGTCAGGAAATAGCAAAGAGGCTGCACTCAAATTGCTTGATGCTATTGCTTATGCTAGGCATGAGGAAGAACTTGATATTGCCATGGGGAACCTTAGATTGTTCAGTCTATAAGTGTGCAATAGGTTGAAGTTCAAGGGGATGTAGATCGATAGGTACAATGTAAGTTTCCTTATAAACAATGGGATAATATTACAATAAATATCAATGATCATTTAACGCTTGGATTGTGAAGGAGAAAAAGCACAATGTTGATGTTTTAATACA